CCAAAATTCTGTGTCAAGTCTTTTTGTTTTTAAGAAATATTTGCAAAATTCTGAAATTATTAAGTATAACTAAAAATGGAATAGTAATGTAAATTCCTTTGCTACTGTTTCTCTTACAAACACTTGAAGATAGATTTTTCTTTTTTTTTTTTTTTCTTACTATGTAGCACATTCCTTGGTTGGAGTCTGAATCTGTGCTGACCAGCTCTCTGAGGTTGAGAAGGCTACGTGGCTTTCCTTCATCTAGTTCCTCCCTTTGTAAAGTGCCTAATATCTGCCCTATCCCACAGAATCATGAGGGCTAAAATTTCATTTAACACATGAATAGTGCCTGCAGTAATTTATAGCAATTATAGGTCTCTAAGTCTGTCATCATTCAAACAGTGTTTCCAGGCCAGGTGTGGGAGCTCCTGCTTTTAATTGCATCACTTGGAAGGCTGAGGTAGGAAGATCTTTATGAGTTCAAAGCTAGCCAGGGCCACTTTCCAAATAAGCCATAAAACTTTCTTTGTTGGAAATGATAGTAACAACAGCAGGGGACAGGGAGGCTGGTCAGCAAGGTGACTGAGTGGCTAAACCCTGGAACACACATGGTAGAGGAGAGCCAGCTCCCACAGATTGTGCTCTAACCACCACACTTGCACTGAGACACACACACACTAAATAGATTAGATGGATAGATTAGATGGATGGATGGATGGATGGATGGATGGATAGATAGATGCAAAACTTTTTAAATGGTATAATTCTTTCTATCAAATAAGGCAATTAGCATTATTTTTCCGTTTTTGTTATTTTGTTGTTTTGCTTTTTGAGTGTCAGAAATTTGATCTAAATTTAATTCATTCTGAGACTGGGTGTGTGGTTATAGGTAGAGTGGTTGCTTAGCATGCACAGAGCCCTATATCTGATTCCCAAATGGAAACACTTTTAATCCCAGAACTCTGGAAGTCAAAGCAAGAGAATCAAGGTCACCCTCAGCTATATATAGTATGTGTTTAATTTTTTCTTACACAGTTAATAATAATATTCTTTGTCCTTTACTCTGTGATGAAATCCTGTTTACAGAACATTATGTTTATTTTTTAAATATTTTATTACTTTTATTTTATGTATATGCATGTTTTACCTGCATATATGTAAGTGCACCACATGTGTGCAATGTCCCTGGAGGCCAGAATAGGCCATTGGATCCCCCGGGACTGTACTTTCAGGTGGTTGTTAGCCACCGTGTAGGCACTGGGAACTGAACCGAGATCCTCTGCACAAACAGCAAGTATTCTTTGCTGCTGAGCCATCTCTTTAGCCCAAAGTGCTATATTTTAAATAGCTTGTAAACTTTAGTAGTAAGAGAAAGAAATTACAAGTGTTGAGATTTTATATAAAAGACA